GGAAACAGGCTCCAGGCTCTGAGCCATCAGCCCAGAGCCCGACGCGGGGCTCGAACTCATGGACCGCGAGATCGTGACCTGGCTGAAGTCGGACGCTTAACCGACTGCGCCACCCAGGCGCCCCAAAAATAATTTTTTAAAAAAGTGCTTCCCTACAGAATTTTCTAAAACGCAGGGTTTGTCATGCTCTGTCCACACTGCCTCCTTTCTCCAAGTTTTAGATTTTGCTCATGGCCTCAGGAACATGATAGAGTATGAAGCATATTATACAAACTGCTAAGATTGTATTGAACTGGCTGTATGAATTAAATGAAGTATTCTGGGCAAACCATTCCCAGTGGGTGTGAGGTATAGGTTTGTTTTGCTTTTAATCAATTTTCCTAGGTTTATGTATAGATTCAACTTGACTAACAAGCATTGGTTTCCATTGGTAGATTAATGTCCTTCATAAACCACCATATGAACATCCAAAAGACTTGAAGCTTAGTGATGGTCGACTGCGTGTAGGCTATGTGAGTTCTGACTTTGGGAATCATCCTACTTCTCATCTTATGCAGTCTATTCCAGGCATGCACAATCCGGACAAATTTGAGGTAAGACTAGTGTTTGTCTAGAGACACTATTTATTTCATTAAACAAAACCTCATTTGTGGCTTTACCATCACCATTAGGTGTTAAGCCTAGTGTCTTTTTTTTTAATGTTTTATTTCTTTTTGAGACAGAGACAGTGCATGAGCAGGGGAGGGCTAGAGAGAGAGGGAGACACAGAATCCTAAGCAGGTTCCAGGCTCTGAGCTGTCAGCACAGAGCCTGACGCGGGGCTCAAACTCACTGTGAGATCATGACCTGAGCCGAAGTCCCAGGCTTAACAACTGAGCCACCCAGGCGCCCAAGCCTAGTGTCTTTTTGAAAGATTTGAGCCGAAGTTTTTACTCACTTTTAATGTTTTAATTGAAATACAGATGGCATACAACATAGTGCATAAGTTTCAGGTGTATGACATAGCAGTTTCACAATTATATGTTCTGAAATGCTCACCACAATAAGCATAGTTGCTGTCTGTTACCATGCAGAGTTATTAAATATTATTGACTATGTTCCCTCTGTACTTTTCATCTCTGTGGCTCATTTTATAGCTGGAAGTTGCACCTTTTAATCCCCCTCACCTATTTTACCCATCCTCTTCATCACCCTCCCTTCTGGCAACCACTAGTTCTCTATATTTATGAATCTCTGGTTTTTGTTTGCTCACTTGTTTTTTAGATTCCATATATAAGTGAAATCATATGGTATTTGTGTTTTCCTGTCTGACTTATTTCACTCAGCATAATATCCTCTAGGTCCATTTATGTTATGAATAGCAAGATTTCATTTTTTTATGGTAATGTCCCATTGTACGTATGCATGTGTTTACACATACACTCTCCACATATTCTTTATTCATCTGTTGATGGACACTTCCATATCTCATTGAGCCAAGGTTTTTAAATATACTGTATGCTGCCTTTCAGGTATTCTGTTATGCCCTAAGCCCAGATGATGGCACAAACTTCAGAGTGAAAGTTATGGCAGAAGCCAATCATTTCATCGATCTTTCTCAGGTAGGTGACACTCCTACACTTCAAACTTAATTTTGAACAAATAGTGAATAAAACTATTGGCATATAGCTTGTATTTTTTTGACAGATATTTTTAACATCAGCTACTACATATGGGCAATTGCTTTGCTCTTATTTGCTTAGTCATTTACATTTATAATCATGGATTTTGCTGATGTTGCAAATGAAATAGAAATGTGGTCTATCTGTGCTTGGACATAAAACTCTTCTAGGGATTAAGCCAGGTCTTATGACAGTAGATACTTAATATTAACTGAATAAATTGACCAAAATGGTGGCTTGGAAGAGGAATACATAGGTTATTTAAGGAAAATAGATGAACTATGGTTCATCTATCTTTGTGGGCCTTTGCCTTTGGTTATCTTTATTTCCATACTTTATTGCTATTTCTAGGAGCATAAATTTTATGTTAAATTAAGAATGAGGAGTGCCTGGGTGGCTGAGTTGGTTAAATGTTTGACTCTCGATGTTGGCTCTGCTCATGTGAGTTTGTGACATTGAGCCCCATGTCCGGCTCTGTGCTGACAACCAGGAGCCCGCTTGAGATTTCTCTCTTCCTCTCTCTCCCTGCCCCTCCCCTGCTTGTGCACACAGGGTCTCAAATAAATATTTAAAAAAAGATTGAAACCTGTGGAGGAATTAATTTGCTGAGTCTTGAGTTTTTTATTCAGACTCTGTTGGCCACTTTGGTGACTAATAGAGATATGCATTGTAGAATATATTTAGTAATTCATTGATACCCAGCAGAAGGGTTTTGAGATTCTTGTCATCTAAATAATATGTACTAATATCTTTGGCAGTGTAGCTGTTGCTATGGGACCAAGAAGCATACTGCCTTCCACTTCTGAGATGTTCAGGGGCTCACTGCTTATTGACTGAAGTCTAAACTCTTCAGCATTGCCTTCACAGTCTTTCTGAGTCTGAGCACAACCTTGTTGGCCAATACTTTTCACCCACCATTTCCCCTCATGTATACCCTGTACCAAATAGCAAATAGCAATAGCACCAAATAGCAGTGATCTACACACCATTTTTCTTAATCTACCATGCACTTGACTCTGATTAATTCATACTTTTCTCGTGTCGAGATTCTGTTCTGTCCAACTGCCTCAAACTCCTTCCCATCTTTGAAGACCCATTTCAAATGCCAGCTCCTCTATGAAGCCTTGTTATTCATACGTTCAGTCTAGAAGTAAACTCTCCTTCCTCTGTATTCTGTTTCTGTAATGTTTTGGGCCCATTTTAAGGGCACTTAACCACATTTTTACCCTGCATTAATGTAACTTGTGTTGTTCTGTTTTGCATCTATGACTCTGAATTTTATTTGGTGCCATTAAGACGAATTTAGTTAGTTTGAGGGGCTCCTGGGTGGTTCAGTTAAGCATTTGACTCTTTATTTTTTATTTTTTTTAACGTTTATTTTTGAGAGAGAGAGCATGAGTGGGGGAGGGGCAGAGAG